TGCTGCCTCTAAACAGAGAGAGTGAGCAACTCGCTGCAAAACATAAAACTACAAAACTTTATTTTATTTTATTTTAATAAAAGGGAGTCAATATTAAACTCACAATATTCAAGGGACAAAAAATACACTATATGGATAAAAGTACTGGGCCACCTACACATTGCATCTGCAGGAGTAAACTCGTGCCACGAAGCTCCCGATGTACAGTTTTTGTGCTGACGTTAATGCCAAAGGATGTTTGGAGTTACGGACTCACTGGAGCGTTCAGTTTTTTTCAGTGTCTGTAAAAGCAGCCTGCCTGTCGTGGTGCTTGATGTTACACAGCTGTGCCAATGCAACTGAAAAAGGTTAAGACGTGCAGCTCAATACTTTTACAAATATAGGGTATAATTCTAAAAATCAAATACAGCTTTAAAATACACCAGCATTTACTGGTTTTCCTGCTACCCCCAAGTGGCCAAAATTAAAATAACACAAAAGAAAATCTTTTAAAAAAAAAACAAAAAAACAAACATTTTTTTAAAAGCATAAAGATGGACTTTGCCACCGTGATAAAGTAATGGTTTTGCACTCATTTTTAAGGTGAAATTAGCACCATGTTGTTTTTTGTTTTGTTTTCGTTTTTTTGTTTGTTTGTTTTTTAGCTAGAAGTAACCGTGTATGGATAAAAGGGCGGAGTGCTAAGTTATCAGCAAACTGTAAAGCTCACGTGTCAGTCAACACAGCTGCACCATTAACTTAATTAAACAAGTAGATGAGTTCTATAAACACATTTTTTTTATGAAAAGAGAGAAAAAAACACTTTTGGAGTCCCTCAGGTGGACATTAGAGGTACTGCATTTTTGCCTTTTCCATGTTGGCTTTGTGTTTCAGCTCTGGAGGCTCCCCCTATTGTTTTTCACACAGATATTCCACCTTGAGGCTGTCAGGTGACACCCCCGTCGTTATGACGCCTTTGCTTGTTCACACTGAACCACAGCGGGTCAGTGTGGTTAAACACAGACCGGCTTAATCAGAGGGCCATGACGTCTTATGTGTCCCAGCGAGTTTTCGGAAGGGCTGGCGCCACATTCCAGCATTTGACACTTGATGAGTGTGCTGTTAGGCAGTGTTACGGTAGATGGTTGATAACTGCTCACCTTCTCAATAAAGGTGCTACAAACACACAATGACACACCTCTCATGGGTTTTCTGTTCCAAACTGGACCGACAAGGTTGCTTATTTGAGAACTTGTGTGCCTTTGTTTTATATTAAAGAAAAAAGTGTTCTAGACCTCAGCTTATTGCAAATGAGGAGCAACCAATGCAGTGCAGCATCTCTCAAAACACAAACGGCCTACACTAGAATATGTTGCACAGGAAGGGTGGAAATAGTGGATCGTGTGGACCCAGGTTCACACTGATTCATGATTACTGTCTGCCGGCTTGAACGTGAAAGCCCTCTGGTTCACTTTTGCACCTTTAACACAGAAGGTGTCCTCATACTTGAATCTCCCTCATTGAGTGGCTTCATATAGTTCTTCCAAATGTTTCCTGCCCCCATTTCCATTTCAATAAGAGCTGCTGCAGTTTTGTTTTCATTTTCAGAGACACATCATTTACCAGAACACGTTGTTGAAACACGAGCACCGTTCGACTCCTTTTTTCTGCAGCGTTGACATGGAGAGAAAGGCTGCGCCGGCAGACCAGCAGCAGGAAGAGCTTTGGTTACTTGTTTTGGGTAGTTTTCATAATCGATATTGTATGATTGGTAGTTGTGTAGCAAGCAGTGCGAGCAGCTTTACAGTGTAAAACACTTTTAGGATGTATGTAAACCGTCATAGACGTTAGGCAGATTTTTATATATTAGAGAGCTTGAATTACTGGAGGCTCACAGTTGCTGTATTAATGTATAGAAAATAACAAATGAAAGACAATGCTTAAACATTAGTCAATTATTGTGTATTGACTATTATTATTATTAATAATAATAATAGTAATAATTTCTGAGTTCTTTCCTTTTATGGACAACATTTTGAATTGGTTACTGTAGTAAATGTAGTAGTTGTGGAGACTGTAATAAAATAAGTTCAAAAACTTTTAATAAGTTAAATATCTTGGTGTAATAACGTATTTAATCTATTATTGCCCTTTATTAAATAAAGATATATGTATATATTCTGTGTTCATGTTTAACTTTTATTTATAGGAGGCAGAATTTCTGAATTTCTTTTCGTTTTAATTTGCACTCAATTAATAAGAGACAAATAATAATAATAATAATGCTCTCACTTGTTCCACTGCTTGTTAATGCAAATATCTAATCAGCCATTCACACAATAACAACTCAGTGCATTTAGACATGTAGACATTGTGACGACAACCTACTGAGGTTCAAACCGAGCATCAGAATGGGGAAGAAAGGGGATTTAAATGACTTTGATTGTGGTATGGTTGTTGGTGCCAGACGGACTTATCTGAGTATTTCACAAACTGCTGATCCGCTGGGATTTCACACACAACCATCTCTGGGTTCATAAAGAATAGAGAAAATATCCAGTGAGCGCAGTTGTCCGGGTGAAAATTCCTTGTTTATTCCAGAGGTCAGAGAGGAATGGCCAGACAGCTTCGAGCCAATAGGAAGGCAGTATTAATTCAAGCTTTGCAACCAAGGTATGCCGGGAAGTATCCCTGAGCATACATGTTGAACCCAGTAGCAGAAGACCACACTGAGTGCCACTTTTGTCAACTAAGATAAGGAAACTGAGACCACAACTCACAGCCTCTGCAAAGTTGGACCATAACAGATCGGAAAAAACTACCTGGTGTTATGAGTCTCAGGTAGTAGAGTCATTATTTGGTGTAAACATCATGAAGCATGAATCCACCTGCTTTGTGTCAATGGTTTGGGCTTCTGGGGGTGTTGTGGGGGATATTTTATTGGCACATCTTCGACCCCTAGTACCGACTGAGCATTGTTTAAATGCCACGGCCTACCTGAGTATTGTTCCTCACCATGTTTATCCTTTTAGTTTTTTAACTTCTAGTGTCGGTGCAATTACATCTTTCTTTCTTTCTTTCTGAAAATCAGCCCACAATTTCTGGCATTCTTATGCTCCATATTTGCTCCATAACTACATGAAATGAGAGAAATAAGGACTAACCAAACATAAATAATAACATCCGCCAGGGGTCATAAAAACACTCTGAGATCTAACAGTATGGATCATATATCTATCAATTAGGGACAAGAAAGGTGGTGGTGGGAGTAAAAATCAGAGGAATTAAAGAGGAAGTACCGAGGTTCATTGTAATGAAAGTAAATTTGTAAACCTCCTTCACCCTCTCCTTCTATTGACCCACCATTGAGGACTGTGGCCTCAGCCAGGTTACTGTGATCATCTTCTTAGCAATGAATAAAACAACTTTCAGTAGGAATATCCAATTGTTGCTTTTTAATCCATCTGGTGCCCAACGTATTGATCTAATAGCTCATTTGATTGTTAACATAAAGAATTGCTCCATACTTGGTGGTGTGGCACATAGCTTGTCCCGTTCTTTGTGTTTCTGTACATATAGGCTCTCAGCTATAAATACCTCTGAAAAATCATGTTCTGCATGTTTGAGCTGAAGCTGTTCAGAAGACATCAGCTCGTCTGCCTCAAATAGCTGACCCAACATTAGAAGTCCCTTTCTTGCCACCTTCTAAACCCCGCCTCTAATTTGGAGGAAGGAAAGTGAGAACGATGTGCAATCATCTTGCTTACGAGTCTTAATTTCTTTTTCACAATGGACCATTTTTAAAGATAGGTTTTTCACAACAATTATTTATTTGATTTCTTCTCCAGATGACTTTACTCATGAAGGGGATTGTATCTGAAAATATATTTGATCATTCATTCTGTTCCACCCTGACATAGATGGTTTGTCCATCCACAGTGTACCCATTTTCTGGCGACTGCTTTGTGGGGTATATCACACCTTGACACAAAATATTTGAACATGACATTGAGTTTACTGTAATCAAATGACCTCCACAGTCATCAGATCTCAGTCCTATAGAGCACCTTTGGTGTGGTAGAACAGGAGATTCTCATCATGTGCAGCTGACAAATCTGCAGCTTGGGATGCTATCATGTCAACATGGACCAAAATCCCCAAGGAATGTTTTAAGCACCTTGTTGATTCTACACCACAAAGATTTGAGACAGCAAAAAAGGGAGTCCAGTGATATTAGAAAGGTGTAACTAATAAAATGGCCAATATGCAAATAATATTAAGCTTTGAAACAAACAAACAGTTGTTTGGCCACACAACCTGACAGAAGGTCTGTAATAAAATACAGACATTCTTTAAATCAAACTAAAATAATAAACTGTAAGGCAAACATTGATTTAAAAATAAAAATTTCCTACTAAAGGATTAAAAACAAAATATTTTAATAATTAATTGTGTGGAAATGGTTACTTTCAGAACTGTCAGTTTGACTGGTAAAAAATAGTTTTTCTGGAAAATATAAAAAAAATTACTTATGACTCACCTTTGATGGGAGATTTTATTACTTTGAAGTTTTAGTCATATTTTACACCGTAAATCTTGGTAAGACGCATCTAAGGATGAAAGTCTAAATGACCCAAATTAACCCCCTGAGGGTGTTGCATTCAGGGACAACATACGGCTCTTAGATAAATATTTAAACAGGCAGAACTCATGGCAGGATTTTAATGGCTTCATTAAAGGCTTCTTAGCTGGACAAAATATATTGTTGTAATTTTAAGTCAGTTTCAGCAGTAGACTGTATATCGGTTTCATTTTCTTTTAAAAATAACTATGTATAATAGTGCTTTTAATATAGAAACCTATATGTGTAATATAATAATACACACATATATAATTTTAATAAAGATTTTACTAGTCTATGCTTGCCACCGAAAGCACCTTATTTAACTGAGTTTTTAAAGGACCAGTGAAAGCACCATGAGCTAAAACCGGAAGACGAAATATTAAAAACAGGATATACACAAAACGCGTCACACTCAAGCGTCGGCAGCTCCATTTTCCAGCTGGTGAAAAACTTTGGTGGTTTCACCTTCAGTCGCTAACGGTCAGTTTTGGCCATTTCCATTTCTCTTTGGGACTGAAAAGAAACGTTTTTCAAGATGGGAGGCGGCGATCTGGTAAGTCTGAGTCTTAATCTTTTACTACGGGCGCATGCGCCGGGGAAGAAACAACGCTAATACCAAACTCCATTGAAATTAATGGTTAATTTATAGATGTTTGCTTACATGTCATACACAGACATTTAGGGCTTGAATTAAAAGCTTTTGGAATTCTGTAGGAAGCATAGTTAAGTTCGGCTATAATTCCTTTAATTTCGGTCTTCTTATTCTGAACTAGTTGAGGATTATAAATATGAGTACATTTTTAGATCAGAAACCTTTAATAAATATTTTACTTATTTTTCTGTGTAGAATGTACTTATAGATATGAAATATTATAGATTTTGTTGTCAAATAACATTTGGATCATTGCGGTAGAATAAAATAATTAAAATTAAGAACTATAGATATTAAAGGCTTCGGCTAGTTATTGTCTACTAAAAGGGAGCTCCTGGTGGTTTCCAATGATGTAGCCGTTGATGGTTTTGACGTGTTTTCTACCAGAACTTGAAAAAGAGCTGGCACCCCCAGACTATGAAAAACATTGAGCGTGTCTGGAAAGCTGAGCAGAAACATGAGGCTGAACGTAAAAAGATCGAGGAGCTCCAGAAGCAGCTGAAGGAGGAACGAGCCCGAGAGGAAATGACAAAATATGCGGAGGAAACCGGCGTCTTAAAGTGAGTTATCTCCTGTGTTATGAGGAACGATAAGTTAATGGTTCAAAGAGGAACGTTGTGTCTGAGATATGCTGTACTTTATTGGATGGTGACAGAAAAAAAGATGATCGGTTGGACTGGATGTACCAGGGCCCTGCCGGTCAGGTGTCCAGGGATGAGTACCTGCTTGGGCGCCCCATTGACAAGCAGATCACTGACCAGTATGAGGAGCCAGAGAGCGGTCCCTCAGCTGAGACAGGCCTCCTGCCTGGGTCCATATTTAACCCCGCCACCCCTGCCTCCAGCCTCGATTTGGCTGCCAAGATCAGGGAAGACCCCCTGTTTGAAATCAGGTGAGTGAACGTGCCATTCTCTTTTGATTTGTTCTGAAGATATTGTTAAATTTGCAGATGATCATGTTTGCGTTTTGTTGGTGTTGTAAAGGAAACGTGAGGAAGCAAAGAAGAGAGAAGTCCTGACTAATCCAGTAAAGATGAAGAAAATTAAAGAAATGGTAACGTTAAGGTCCAAAAAGCTGGTATCGGTGTAGGTTAATGAGATATAACATCCTAAAAAGCATTATTATTACAGGCTGATGATTTCTATCATGTAAATATTTGTATTTGTTTGGTTGTTTTTAAATAGCTTCGCCAAAACCTTGACAAGAAAGACAAGAAAAAGAAGAGGAAGAAGGAGAAGAAGGAGAAGAAAGGAGACAAAGACAGAAGGAAGGAAAAGAAGCATAAGAGGAGTTCAAGTTCGAGCTCGGAGGAAGACGATGAGAAGAAACACAGGCTAGTAAAGAGGTTGTTTCAGAAATGATTGCAGTATGTTATGAGACTTCTGTGTAAACCAGCAAATTGCTCATAAGTACCACTTTTTTTATATATCATTTTTTATTCGTTTTTCAGGTCACACCCACGAGACAACTCCTCAGACACCAAATCTCATTCTCATCATCATCATCCAGGCTATGGTCTACAGGTCTGTACCACAGCTACTGTGATCACACACATGCACATGACTTATCCTGCATTTTCAGCATCTGATCTCTGAGACATCCACTGTGTGGGAAACAGTCCTAGAGCCTCTAAAGGGAAAGTCTGCGGAGTGTCTTAAGTTCAAGCTTGTATTTGTGAAAAGTAAAGGTGCCATAACTAAACAGCAAAGCTCATCAGTTTAAAGGGTAGAGTCATGCTTTGCTTCATTAGTTCCAAATTAAGGGAAACTCTCTGCATCATGAGTGGGTTGTAACTGGTGTGGAAGTGATTAATCAGATGTGCACTGGCAAAACCAATCGCTTCATCTTTAAAGTGTTTTTAGTAAATATGCTTATAAATATCCACAAAATATTAACCTTCTTCAGCATGCCTGGAAAACTTTAATATGCATGCATGAGTGTGTTCACATTCTGCCATTCTGACCCACAGTTCTCTGTGTAAGCTGCACACACAGCACGAGAGTAGAAGTTGAAAGCCTTCAACAAGTAGAAATAAGGGACTCCCGGTGACCAGGGAGCTAAAGTTTCTTTGCAAGTGTTGTTGGGTTTTTGTTGTTTCTTTGTTTTGTTTTTTAAAAGCAGCATGCAGCTTTTCTTTTTCTTGGGGGTTTCTGGCCCAATCCACTGTAAGGGGAGACCCTCCTGAAATGTGTTGCTGATTATTGGTCTTTTCCCTCAGCTCCCAACAGACAGATATCAACAGACCTCGACCTCCTCCGGTCACTCAGGGCGGCGTGAGAGGAGCCGATCCCGATCACCTCACAGGAATTACAAGGACAGCCGCTCCTACTCTTCATCCTCCTCACATCGGAGTGAAAAGAAGCAGGAACCTAGAGCTCCCAGCCCACAGAAGGACCGCTACCAGAGACAGAGGAACCACGTGCCCAAGTAAGAGTGTACACATCTCCAAAAAGTATGTTTGTGAACGTATTTGTATGATAACTGATTAAATATTGCAATAACTGCTTTGATCTGCTCTTTTTTTTTTTTTTTGCAAGCACTTGTAAATATTATCGATGTTGTAACTGTGATACGTGTGTTAAGATGAGCAGATGAGCTGCTTAAATTGTAACATGTTACATAAAATCTCATCTTTATCACCACCCACGCTGAACTGGTTAATTTTCCATGTTGTTCTGTCTGATGTAGGAAGCTCTCTGCAGAGGAGATGGAGCGAAAGAGGCGTGAGATGATGGACCAAGCCAAGCAGCGGGAGGAAGACAGGGAGAATAATGTGAAGCGCTATAAGAGGCAGGACGAGCAGGAGAAGCAGAGGGAACAAAACGCCAAGCATGACCGCCACGCTGGCTTCATCCAGTAAGTTCAGAGTGTGATGTTTGTGGACACAAGTCTGATAATCAGATCAGTTATTTGTGTGTGTTTGTGCATTTTAAGTTTCAGTAACTGACCTTTGTCATCTTGCAGCAACATGAAGCTGGAGAGTGCCGCGAGCTCCTCCTTAGAGGACAGAGTGAAGAGAAATATCCACTCCATTCAGAGGACGCCAGCCTCCCTGGAAAACTTCATGAAACGATAAAGACAAAAAATCACATTACAGTCAATGAACTGACTAAAAAGACTGCCACACACCATTTTTTGACTGGGGCAGGTGAGCTGCGAGCCTGTCAGGAATTCAAACACAGGCTTTTAATTTGAAAAGCAGATGTCATAGTATTCATATGTACAGTACAAAAGGCCTGTTGTTACTTCATGTGTTTTAGCTACTTTCTTCAAATCAAATAACTGTTTATAAGGTTAAAGTAAGTTTGTGCAATTTACTGTTTTTGTTTTTACATATTGATAGGACCTCTTATCTCAAATGCTTTTGTAATATTCGTTTGGTACTGTGAGTAACAAATGGTATAAAAACTACATTTCTGGATTTGTACTATTCATTCTTTTTTAAATGCCACTTGTCACTGATCATAGACTGTTATTTAAGAGAAAATATACTTTGTATACCCTGAAGTGGGGAAATTCCTTTACTTAGCACCTGAAAGTTAACATCAAACAGATCAAATAAAGAGAGTGGAAAGAGAATAAAATGTGACAAAATAAATATATTAGCATGGTAAAGCTCATTTGAAATCAAAGTAAAGCAGTTATGTAACTATATAATAGTTAACTAGCTTAGTCAATGAGCTGTATAAGCACATCACACAGACCAGCTAATTCATGCAAACTAACCAAGAAAATGTTAACAGTTCCCCAAAACCAAAGTTCTGTATCTCACTGCAAACCATAAAGGTTGTCACAATTGCATCAGTGGACCAACAGCATCAAGAGCACTCCGTGAAGCTCAGCAGACACAGCAGCAGTACTTGCATCATTTTTCTTTTCTGAAAGTTGCTGTTTAACACAGACCCAGCCACACACTCAGACAAAAATGGGTTCATCCCAAAGACAAACTTAACAACATAGTATTTGCTGTACAGCAGCGAGGAATGCTCAGACCTCTATGTTGGAGAGACCAAACGGCCACTTCATAAATGCATGGCACAACATAGAAGAGCCACCTCAATGGGACAAGACTCGGCTGTCCATCTGCATCTAAAGGACAAAGGTCACTCTTTCGAGGAAGCCAATGTTCACATTTTGGAGGAAAGGACAGATGGTTTGAAAGAGGAGTGAAAGAAGCCATCTATGTCCACTGTGAATGGCCATCTTTGAACAGAGGCAGTGGCTTACGGCACCAACTGCCTGCCACCTATAATCCAGTTTTGAGATCCCTTCCTGGAAGCCGTAATGCCCACAAACATCCTGGGCCATTTGACCTCAGGAAATCACATGATAGGGCGGGCTAGGTTTCACAATGGGTTCACCGGAAAACTTGGCTGATTTTGACCCACACCAGTGGGTCTTGGCTTGTATGATTAGGTAGAGGATCAATAGGAAGTCCATGACCCTCTTGGGGACACTCGCATAGGGCTTAAAATCTGAGGCTCTCTACCAATCGCTCTTAGAACTGGAGAAGCTTCTTGGATGAGAGGTGAAACATCTTCAATAAAAGAAGTCCAGATGCTTTTCTTTCCAAGCTCCTAAGAGTTTAACACATACAGCTTTACCTGTTCTCCCCTCCACTAATTCAAGTCCCAGGAGCCAAATCAAAAACCCAACTTTTGACTTCTGTGAGGAATCTTTGTAGAGGCCATTGATGTTGCCAGCATTCATGCTTTTGCTGCTGCATTATGTTTTAATTACTGTGTGGTCATATCCTTGTGTCTTATATACAGTGCCAGCCACGGCAGATACAAATAAAATCCTGGGACTTTTTTCCATCTTGGATCCCTGTGTGATCAGCGTTTTCTCAGGAGCAAACATATTTGTCCCTCAAGTTTTTCCACTTCTTTTTACCTCCTCTCCATTCTGGTATTTCAGAATTTCCCTCCAGGAATTTGCTGACATTTGTGAGTCCTTATATGAAATCATTATTGGTGCCATTCTTATTCATTGTGGGCTGCGACCGCCAAAGGTGTAGTTAGATTTCCTGGAAAGTCAGGTTATGCTGTAGTTTGCAGCATAGACTGAAGCATAAATCTCCAGTAAGGCCATGTGTTTGCTTTCACCTTATGGCAACTATCCTCAGCTGGAATAAATTGTTCTGCAGGTTATGTGGCGTATGATGAGCAGCAAAAGTGTTATTGTATGGCAAAATAATAATAAAAAAAAGATTAGCTGACCTCTCTCTATTATATGGTGGCTGTGTCACATGAAGTGATTGTACACGTGTAATTACAGTGGATTCTTTTTTTTTTCTCGTTCATGATCAAATAAAATGTAATCTTTAGTTCACGACATTTTTAGCTCTGGGTTAAACTGTATGTCTAACTGCCTAAGCCTTATTTTAACCTGTTGTGTTTACAGGGGAGTGACAGCACAGTTTTAAACTACCTTACCGCTCCGCTGTGTTTCAATTTCGCTTTAACGCGCCTCTACCAAACTATGCACGCTTTGGTCACGCTGCATTTCTCACCCAATCACAGTTGCACATCGCTGAGGATGTCAGCCAATCATATCTGAAGGCTTCCGTTACGTATGTAGATAGTTAGTGTGATCTCGTGTTTCTAAATCGTGTAGTCACTGTCGGAAGCTAACGGCAATCATTCACAAAGCTGGGAAGCAGCAGAGTTTGTCCGTTTTAGCAGTTAGGAATCTAAACCAGCGCCTTCACAATGGTAAGAACATTAAAAATAAGTTAACATCCGCGCGGCTGGTTGGATAAAAATTATATTAAACTGAGTTTGTAGGCTAACAGAGACTTGAGCTAACAACGGTAGCATCAGACATCTTTAGCATGGTCACTAAAGTTACCTACCGGTAACATCTGAATTAATTCTGAGGAAAATGCGAAGTTAGTTTTACAGTAAATCATTATTTAATTACTGATAATGTCCTAATGAATAATTTAGCTCTCGATTCTGGAGAATAAAACTAGAGAAAACCTGGAAGCTAAAAGCTTAGCTTCTGCTACTCTTGAGCTAGCGTTGATTTTTGTGCAGGATTGTTTTTTTTTTAACTCACTTTTTTGGCTTTGGTTTTAGTGTATTTCGTTTTTCAACGCTAGTGAGCGTGTTTAGTCTCAGCCAAAGCTCACTAGACACTGTAAGATTAAACAGACACTGACAGATTAAACTTTAAAGCGATGAAAACAGTTAAAACTGGATTTTCTAAAGCTACTGTCAGAAGCAAGCATCAGCAACCTGCATCTCAGGAGCGCTGTTCTCCACTAGAAAACCTCATGAATTGACAAATGTATACATGCAATATTTCACACACTTTCTCACTGTTTATGTGGTAAGATGGTAGCTCTTGTGAGAGTTACACTTTTTGGTGTTAAAAATTTCTGCTTAGTCAGTATACGTTTTGCTTTTGATTTTATAATGTATTAAATAAACGCTATTTTTCCACTGTAGCCAAGTCAAGACTATTATTTCTACAGAAAAAACAGAATACATTTAGATACTTTTTAGACACAGAAAGGGAGAAAATACGAATATGACAAGTTATACCACAAAAACAATATCAGTAGATGTCAGTAGATCGTCTAATCCTAATAGAACAAAATCCAGGACTTTTTTTTTTGGTGGTATTCTAACTAAAACACAGAAATTGATTTGTTATACATGCTGTATACATGTTTGTCATTTTTGATACCCAGTTTTTAAGCATGTACATTCCCCTGATTCAGTTTTATGGTAAGAGGAGACAGTGAAAGTATGAGACTTTTATCTTTAGTAGTTTTTCAGATATTCATGTTCATCCAAACTTTGGACCAAAAAATCTTCAGGCAAATCTGATGACCCCAGTCATTTGAGGTGATGTGACCCTTTTATAGATTTGGTTGATCAGGTGATTGATCCATTTTTGTCCTCCATCCTCTTCTCCTCTCCCAGTCTATTATGTCATATAATGGCGGGGCTGTCATGGCCATGCGGGGGAAGAACTGCGTGGCGATCGCAGCAGACCGGAGGTTTGGCATTCAGGCCCAGATGGTCACGACAGACTTCCAGAAGATCTTCCCCATGGGAGACAGGCTGTACATCGGGCTGGCTGGTTTGGCGACAGATGTTCAGACAGTGTGAGTGGGAATCTCGTCCTCTCAAAATGTCTTTTTTATGCCTGTATTTTATTTGCTCTGCTCGGAATCAGCTCATTGGTTTGCGAACTTTCAGCTCAGTTTCTTAAAGTTTGAAGTGAAGCAAAATATGTTGAAAGAAATTAAATACAAGGGTAAAAAGTGATTTTTCTGTGTCCTTTCCTCATGTTTTATTCTCATCCACCTGCACACAAGGAGTCTTAACTAAATGAGACACCCTCACTTCGGAGACCAATTTTTTTTTTTTTGAATGATGTTAAATATATGTGATATTTGGCACAGCTGGATCATCTCTCAGCCTGCTGCTGATGTATTTTATGATCACATCTTAACAGTTTGGCAGCAGCTCTTCCTAAAGGGTTTGTTCCTGCTGTCTCAGCCTGTACCTGGGAATAACTACAAAGTCATGTCAATGGGAGAAAAATTAACCAGGGTCCAGTTTAACCAGACTAAACATTGAGTGTGAAACCACCCAAATTTAATTACCACAGTCTTCGTGTTTGATAGCAGAAGATGGTAGTAACAGACTTTACTGAACTAATTTCTGATGCTGAATCAGGACAGATCAGTGGTCGAATGATTTCTTGTCATCCATCCCTTTTTGCAGAGCCCAGAGGCTGAAATTCAGACTCAACCTGTATGAGCTGAAGGAGGGTCGCCAGATCAAACCCAAAACCTTCATGAGCATGGTGTCCAACCTGCTGTATGAAAGGAGGTGAGTACACTGAACTGCCGAAAGCATGAATACTAATTTGTCTTTTGTTTCTGCCAGTTTGTTTGAACAATGAACTCAAAAGGTCACCTCAGTGATGTTCTGTGTTTATACTTGCACAACAATCTATTGGACGACGTACTCCTGGAGTCTGAGCTCGGTCCAGTCAGTACTTTAATGCGAATGTGGGAATGCTGGACACTTCTTCATGTCTGATTCTCTCATTAGGTTTGGGCCTTACTACATCGAGCCTGTGATCGCCGGATTAGATCCTAAAACCTTTGAACCCTTCATCTGCTCCTTGGATTTGATTGGCTGCCCCATGGTGACAGAGGACTTTGTTGTGAGCGGCACCTGCTCGGAGCAGATGTACGGCATGTGTGAATCTTTGTGGGAGCCGGATATGGTCAGTATTAAACCTGAAACCACCTGTACTTGGGTTTAGTTTATTTGTGTTCAGATAAGTCTGCAGGATTGTTAGTGAGCTTACCTTTTCTTTCTTTTTAAATTTAAATATCTGTAGTTTTAACTTACACTGTTCAACATCCAAGGAATTTAAACGCAACATGGTGATTAAAGACGCAGTAATTCTTCTGAGGTGTTGAAACTCTAATGAGTGTTGATTTGAATTTTGTTCTGGTCGTGCAGGAGCCGGATGATCTGTTTGAGACCATCTCCCAGGCAATGCTGAATGCAGTTGATCGAGATGCAGTTTCTGGCATGGGAG